TATATATATATATATATATCAGAACTTTAATACGACGTAATTCATAATTTTTATATATGCACATACACAAATAAATTGTAACTTGTGGAAATTTCAAATCTAGTTGACTTTAATTAACGAAATATAGAAATTATTATATTTTATGTAATTTATTAAGAATGTATAATAAGAAAAACATTATTATATATTATTCAAACAAGCATACAAATTTGCACGTAATTATCGTAAGATTACTTTAAATAGTTTTAATAAATCAAACACACATGTAGATATATTACATATAAAGAAAGTATTACTTTATATATAAAGAAAGTACAATACTTAAAAATCTGAGGAGTATCCTTCAGCACGGCATGCTGCCAAGAGTCATTGCTTTTTACGACCTAGCATATACACGTGCTGCACATGTGTTTCCCTATAATCGGCGTTTCTGAATGCCAAATGCACGAGACACGAGTTAAAATTTTGACTGAGATATTCGTTAGGGTTATTAACGAGATTAAAGACTTTATTTTACGGCGTTTAAGCGCAAACGAAGCAAGTTCAATTTATAAAGTGTTTATTCACTCTCTAAATTATAAACAGTATTTTTTAAAGCGAAGAGCTAATTGCTTGTGTTTTGAATTTCGCATTATATTTATAAACTTATTGATTAGAAAAGAATAAGATTTATGAAATCTTTTTTGTCACACCATGTTTTTACAAAAACATAAATAGTCATGGAGAAATGCTGAAAATAAATTTAATATCTTGGAAATATAGGAATTACTTGTTTTTTTTTTTTTTTAATATAGTATAGAGATATTTAAAAATTACAATTTTCATAAATTTAAAATCTAAGCGAAACACACACTATAAAACGTTTACTTTTATCTCTAAAATTTTACGTTTTTCCTTGATTATATATATGCTTCAATTTATAAAAATGGAATTTGTTAAGGAAAAAAATAAAAATTTTTCAACATTTTTAATAAATAATGTTTATCTTTTTTAAATAAAGGTTAAATCTTATTAGTGATGTATTCATTATATCCATCTTTTCTAAACACAGGAAAATATGACTATTTCAACGCAGAAATATGAAATGAAAAGCATTAAGTTGGTGTATTGAGAGAAGGAAAAAGCGAAAAGCTCTTGGAAGAAAATGGGCCTGAAATTTAGTAAACGATCAACCCGCATCTAAATCATTACACAATGAAAAAAGTCGCCGCTCGTTGCCCGGTATTTAATTGTATTATTGCTGTCTTTTTATTAAGAATTCCGTTTGTTTGTCTTATCTCTCCGCTCGCGTGCCGTCGATTATCCACCGCGGGAGAAACTTTGCGATGAAGACATCGTGATGCGATGTATAATTCATAACTCGATAGCTTTCCGTATATGAACAGTGTCCCGGAAAAATTCCATGTAATAATAGTAAAGAAAAACATTGTATACATTTTTCAGAAATATCCCTTCTATAAAAACAAAGGATTTAGACTGTCCATCTCATGTCCAATCCAATTTTATCTCCTTTGTCGAAATTATAACGACAATTCAGTACAATTTATCTCGTCCAAAATTCATTCAAAGGAACGTGAGATAAAAACGAATCAGGTGATTGTCAACGAGTCTCGACAGCTACGCTATTATGCGGGTGAATTCTCGACCGTAAAACTTTTTAGCGTTCGCTAACTCGAGTATCATTAATATCCGGTGACGGCGGGACACCCTGTGTATAGCTTTATAGAGTATCCCGCAGAATTAATCGCTCCGCGCGCGCGCGCGCGCGCGAAGGAAAGTCCTGGGCCGCGCATCGTCCTTTGGCTCCGGGAATTAATGAAGGATTGATATCGCGATTATGTTGTAGCAATAGCAATAGCACAGAAGAGCGATCCGACGGTGTACCGTGTAGGCCGATCGGCAGCACGGACCGCGGCGATAATTAATTGCAGGCGTGACGGCGCTTTAACGTCGTTAATTTTCATTATCTCGATCGGAATCCGCTTGTAGCGCGGAACCGCCGCCGCTTTGCAGCTCGCTAATTTCGCGGGCGCGTTCGCCTCGTAACCTCGCTTCCGGGAAACGCATTAATAATTCTCTGGATGAGAGGAGCTTTGCGGAGAGGGAGGACAGGAGGGTAGCTCTTGCAAAATTTGTCACCCGCTCGTGGCTACGGTGACGCTAATGTCACGGCCGCTCATGCGGCCGGGATTCGCGGCATGCAAGGATGCGCGCGATGCACTTTGCGTATTGTTTGGATTATTAAAGCGAGTCAAGTTAAACCTAATTATCACGGCGTTCGGTTGAACGACAAATTTCGACATCGCTTGCACTCTCTACCTGCTATGCTGCATATCAAGGCACAACATAATACAACCAAAATGCCGCCATCCACTGTTTACGCTCATCCCGCATGACAAGCTTCACATCCGCATAATTTTTTATTTTTCGAAAAACGTTATATCACTAATTTCAGATATAAAAATGTGCTAATCGTAATCTTTATATCTCGAGCATAACCGCCAATTTAATCGCTAAGAATTATTTGTACATAGCGCAACAATTTAATTTTTTGTATTAAATAAATAATAAGTTAATTAGTTAAAACAAAAATGTATATGATTGGATTAAGTGATAAAATAATATCAAAATATATAGCTATTTTATTTGACTATGCAAAATATGTATTTTTAGAGTATCTTAATTATGTTAAATTTGTTATTGAATCATATATAAAAAACTTTTACATTCTTGATAAGTTATATATAAATATGTAATTCGCAGTTTAAATTCTCATAAGAATTCTCAGACTATAATTTCTACAAATATCACCGTTGCTTTTGCCCATTGTATCTCTTATCGTGAAATCGATTTAAGAAGAATGGGTGTGTACGTGTAACATCACATTCCTTCTTATTCCTCGAGCAGAGATCCGTCAGGAAAATGGCAATAATAATGGAGGTTTATAGTACAATGGTCCATTAGATCTCGCAGCTATCGGTCAGCGGGGCCGGGTCCGCGTTTACTTAACGCTTTAAACACAAAGCTGCGGCTTAACCGGGACCTATTGTGCTTGCCCCCGGCAATTACACCAACGATTGGCTAACGAAGGCCGATCGCCTCGTCGAGTGTGCGACTCGTGTAACGTAATGATCGCCGCGCTGATTTGCTCGCCGTTACAGATTCAATTACGGACCGCGCCACGCGGCATGCCCCGCTATTTCGCACGACGCGGCACGGCCGAATGTTCCGAGATCAACGGCGGAAATTAAATTAAACCTAACGCCGACCGTATGCTACGCGCGCATAAATAACAAAAGTGACACCGCCATCGGCCTGGGCGACCTAACGAGCCTAATCCGATACTACTTGCATTGTTTTCAGCGTCGTTCGCTCGCCGCGTGCATGCACGAATTGCCGAACGATAAGTGTGGCGAGCTGTGTGAATCTACTAATTTTAAATCAAGTTTAGACCAAACAAAGGTTAATTAATTTTGACTGAAAAACAGATTGATTATCAATACCTTTTGTCCAATGTAACTTTTAATATGTATCTCTATTATTATTTTATTGTGTTGCATCCTGTTTTGCATTCTTCCATTCGCGTTTGTCAAACATTACAACACTTTGAGATTATAGAAACTTGTTTCTATACTTTTTGTATCTCTTCCAAAGAGAAAGAGAGAGAGAGAGAGAGAGAGAGAGAGAAAGTATAATTTTATTACTTAATTTATTTTTAAAAAAATGTATAAACTTTCTTGTCTTATTATATGTATATTACAGATTTCTTAAGCTCTCCGCACAAAGAAAATTTGAATAATATATGTACAGAGAATTAAAACGCGCGTATGTGAGATAAAAAATGACAATATTGAAATTGACTTTTTTGAAACTATTACTCGAGAAAACTAATTTCTTTGAAAATATAAGTACATCATCTCAGAAGAATACAAAAAATGCAGTGGGCTTAAAAACGCACGCACACACAATGCACTTCTCCATGCATAAATTTTCTTACATCTAACTGTCGTATCTAGCAAGTATGTATCTAAAAAGAAAATACAAGAAAATATTAAGTATTTGACTTTTGCAAACGTAAATTTTGTTTTCGATTGCTTAGGAGGAAGAATGCCTATAAGGTGTTCAATTGGTAAAGCAAGGTGGGGCCTGTTTTGCAGCCGATATTCGCGACTCGGTTAGTAGCTCTCGAGTTTTAGCGGCTTGACTTCAAAGGGATGCGAAAAAATTTGTACGCGACCGACTCTCTACTCTCCGCATAGGGGAATACCTTCGCGAAACGATCAACGCGATTCCCTCCATCGCGGATTATCTTTTTCTCCTTTCTGCGTGTGTTTCCCGTTTCTTTCATCTTTCTCTTTTGCGTACCTACTCGTGCAAGAGGTCGAACGTCGAGCAATGCGTGCAATTTGCATATGCGCGCCCGTTTCCCCACCCCGCTTCGTTCATGTCCTCATCATTGCGCTTTAACGCGTGTCATTTCGCGCGTGCAGTCATTTATCGCCGAGACTTTATAACGGGTGTCTTCTGCCACTATCACTCGTTAATGCTTAATGAGATTCAAAACTGGTCATCGATAATTATTCAATAGTTAACGACTTAGGATAAGATTACGTTTGAGATTTATCTCTCTTGTGAATTAAACTTTGGGAGTGCAAATAGATAATAATATCACTTTATTATTAATATAATTTTCATTCGAAGCTAATTATAAAAATATGTAACACTGAGAATATTGGGAAATCGCGGTAATGGATAAAGATTTTTGATATTCTGTTGAAGACAAATTAACTCCAAATTAACCAAGGAA